GCAGTAGCAGTAGCAGTCGCAGTGGTAGTGGTAGTGGTAGCAGTAGCAGCAGCCGTCGTCGTCGTAGCTAGTCGTAGTAGATGATGTAGATGCAGATGTAGATGTAAACGCAGATGTTGATTGAGATGTTGCTGTTGTGGCAGCAGTCTTTAGTCGTTGTCGTGGCTGAGAAATGCTGGTTTGCCGTCGCGGCTGCTGCTTGGGTCGGTGATGCTGGTGGTGGTGCTGGTTGGGGTGGCCAGGCATCATTCTCTCGACTCGTCGCATCGCAATCCGATGAAGACGCAGCAAGCGGGAGGCCAGATGTACAACTGCTGTACCTGCGATGATGAGCTCCCTCGGAAGATTCGGTCAAGCTGTGAATCGACAGTGCGCCGGCCTTTCCCTTTCCTTTGCGGCTGCGCTGCCGCTTCTTTCCCTGCAAGGATCATGAACCCCCCTGCTTCTGCAAAGGAAGCATTGTAGCCAAAATGCGCGAGATGCACCGCTGGTCGGTCCCAAAAAACTACTCGAAGCCCTCATTACCGGTGAAGCCGAGAGCCATAGCCACGAAGCCGAAAGCCTGAAACAGCGGAGAGCCGAATCGCTCGCCTTGCCGCCTTTGTCGCCTTTATCACCGCCTCGAGGCTGCTCCAGCCTGCTTGGAAAGCTAAGGGTCGCAAAGGTTGGGCTTTCAGATTCATGGCTATCGAAACCAGAGGAAGTTTTGATGTCTCAGAGAAGTCACATGGGGCTCAGGCTTGTGCAAAAGAGGTGGCCACACAGCAATCGTCGTCAACAACAACTATTTCGCCAGGGTCATTGCCATACAGGTGAACTGCTACTGTTCTTTACCTTACTATCACCGGACACACGACTATCACAGGACACACGGACATCACATTCTACCAGCATGATTCTGGCGTGCACGTTGCCTCGCATCGCCGTTCTGAGGCTGCCCGGAATGCCTCCGACGTTCCGCAGGTTTGCTCTAGGTCTAGAGAAGCGCCCTTGGCGGCAGAGGACCAAGGCCCGGACGGGGAAGGCTCCAGCGCCAAACCTCCGTGTCTGAATAGGACCCTTTGCCTTGGCCTGATGCCACATGCTCCGGATGTAAGTCTCTAGCGATCAGCGCCGGAAGCAGCCGCCCACCTAGGAAGGGGACAAGGCAGGAGGGTACCAGATACACGCGAGATGCTCAAAAGGAAGATGTTATGGTGGATTGATCGACAAAATACATTCCACAATGCCAAGCATACATCCGGCCGAGTTCCTGAGTCTACTACGACGACCGAGAGCGACTCCATTTTGCACGAAACTGTCCGGGCATTGCATGAATGGTCGGACACTGAGCCTGGACGCTCTCAAGTCCTTTAGCAACCGTGTTTGCTGAGCCTTTCGCTTACTCTCGTTGTCCAAGGCTTTTCGAAGCTTCTTCCGCTGTGCATCACGCTGGCAGGTTGTAGGAAGCCAGGAATGATTTCATACCCCCTTCCTTTCAGCGCAGGTCCTGCCACGGCAAGCGTATCAGCGACACCCAGCTTGGAGGAGCTTTGGTCAGCAATTGCGAGACGCCTTCGACCTCGCAACATGCCGCGTCAGGGCAGAGCTCCGAGCACAACAGGACTCTGCCGGGTGCACGTTTGAGGCTGGGACATGTGTGGGAGTGCCACCAGACGAGCGCAGCACCTGCAGCCCATTGAAAGAAGTTCTGATCAGCAGCTAGCCTGAGATGGTGACGAGAGTTCGAGTCTTCCTACATGCAAGTAACCCGAAACTGACATGTGTATGCCATAATGTACTCATGCATATATATGCATAGGCATAGGCATAAACACATCTTTTTTTATATATGCATAAACACAACTAAACTAACATACATGCATGCACGCATGCATTCATGTGTGTACATATATGTATGTAGACATATGTCCACCTACCTTCATAGCTGTACATGTGTATGTATAGAAAAAGGATCGTTCAGGGTACATACACAAAGACACACAGAAAGACAAGCAGATAGCAGTAGGAAGAAACAGAGGTAGGCAGGCAGGCAGGCAGGCTGGCTGGCAGAAAGACAGAATAGACTCCATCGGGGGATGTTTGATTTGTTTGATGTCAATGGGATATCTTTCCTGAATCAACTCAGTGTTTAGAGGGTCTTTTTGGAATGCCTGCAACGACCCCACGTGTATTGAAGTCTGCAGCCCAGAAGTTACAATTTGGGCAGTATCCTTCAGATCGGGTGCTCGCTCGAGTGTACGAATACGACGTGGCAATTTGAATTACAGGTTGTTCGGCTGTCTGTGCGCCACGCCACGGCAGGAAGCTACTTGCTGATCTTGTCAGCACTACTCTTGACAACGTTGCTCGACGCTCTATGCTCTGTTCCTCGCAGGCTCTATCTGGCATGCGTGGTAGCAGCATGTAGCAGCACAAGTTTGAATCGTTGGTGTATCGTACAACCTGTTGATCATCATCGACTCTTGATTAAGACGATTAAGATGCTATGCTTCGGATTGTGCAGATGATGCGGCCTTGACCACCTCTACATGCCCCATGCGCGTCGCCAGCTGGACGGGGGTCTCCCCTCGTCCTGTCGAAGGCGATCGGAAGTAGTCCGAAGATAGTTAGTGTTTCGCATGACCCCAGCCCCTGCCCTAGGCGAACCTGTTAGTGCCAGTGGATCAGAGCCAGCATGAAGCAGTGCAGCTACCACGTCCTGGCACGAGTAGGTATTAATGTGAAGCAGCTGGGACCGCTGAGCTAACACGCACGAGATCCTTCACTGACGCCGTTGTGTGAGAGCGCAATTCCGGTTGCCAGCACTTTGGCTTCATATCTTCACACTGATGCTCATCGACATCTCATCGACTCTCAAAACTGTATCAGATAAGAGCAAGCTGGCAATCCTTCGCAGCTTCCTCTTCAAGACCGCGATCAAGGTCTTCAAAACCGAGTCTGCCCGGAAAGGAAAGCAACATCGCTGAGCCAGAAGGGAGTCGAACGGAGCCCAACTCTCAGCTGCTCGTAACCCGCTTCTTCACAGTGTCGGCGACGGGGTGTGCATTGCTTCCAAGAAGACCGTCCGCAGCTGGGACGAACCGGTAGTTCCCGCACATGTGTGAAAAGGGCGGTGTTCACGCAATCGAAGCCGCAAGGTTCTGCAGGAGATGATCCTCTCACGCAGAACCTTGCTTTGCTGTCGAGCACGGGCCTGGAAGCTCGAATTCATCTGCCCGTCAAGTTCAACGTCGACCCGGGATCCACTCCAGAAAGTCCACGAAGGCCTCCATGCAAAGTGCCAGCATCTTCGTGGCTTCAAAAGGAAGTTTTCTGGGAGCAGCAGACGACTTGAAGCTGACAAATGGCTGCCAGAAGCCGGAGGAACTGGTTCTTGAGAACGCAAACACTCGCCCATGGCTGTTAAGGCTGTTAAGGGTTCAGGTTGTGAAAAGTTTCAATAAGCAAGTACAGCAGAAGAACAGATGAAGTCTTGACTTGTCTCCGTCTGGCTGTCCAAGGCTCTGCAACTCTTGCTTGCTTTTCTTACTTGTGCAGTTCCCTGTCGGCAGTTCTCCGCTTCTAAACCACATTCACACTCTGCACATCCTCAGAACCTGAAGAAGGATCACCTCGACAAAGAACTCCCCAAACCTCCGCCATCTGCTCCGAAAACGGGCCTTGAGCCTGGGCCATCCTGGGCCCCAACCGAAGCCCTCACTCCTCGTGGCCGCGGACGGCTGCAACATGCAGAGCCGAAGCGCCAGTCCCCACCTTGCCATGCTGGAGTCCCACTCTTACTTGCGACTGACAAAAATCGCTTGCGCTGCATCGAACTCTGAGATTCAGTTCGGCTCCTAAGTGTTGCAAGCACGATCTGATCAGGTCAGGTGCGCCTCCTACCCCTATCAGAGACAGCAACGCTGGCAAGTGGAGGACTCGATCTGAGCTTTGATCCCGGTCGTGGCGTAAACGGGGTGCGGCGGTCTATCTATGAAACAAGGACTGAGTTCACATTCCGTGCTCCCCCCTTTTAACCATAGAGTTGCAACAGACGGACATGAAAACGGGTGAAGCTGTACTGAAGACAAAGAGTCGGAGGCTTTGGGGTTTGCTGCAGGCTTCTCATTAACTTCGCACGAACTAGGCCTACATAAACGGAACGCTGGTGCTTCATCGAGTTTCCGTGTTTTGTCGAAAACACCAACTGAATGAACTTCCAGCGATCTTTGTTCATGTTCTGAGGCCCCCTGCACCGTCTAAGTCAGCCTTGGTCCGAACATTCACATCAGCACCTGCGCATCGGGGTTCCAAGGTGTTGCTGGAACCAAGAACCCCGGAGTCGTATCGGCTTCAACGTAGTTCTAGGCGGGCACCTTTGGCAACGGCCTTCGTGCAGGAGGCCACGGAACCTTGATGGGCGCCATAGAACAGCTCGGACCTTGTGGGCATGGCATACTGACCGCATATTCTGCTTTCGTTACGGTCTCTGTGTCTCTGTGTCTCTGTGTCTCTGTGTGTGTGTGTATTTGTTTTCAAAGAAGGCCCTTTCTGTCTGCAAGGGCGAGATCCAGATGTGTGAGTTTCGGGATGTCGAGTAAGGGAGGCTCCTTCTGCCGATAGGGCTGCATGGCTAATGCCCTGCACGGTTGATGGTGCACTGAAGTGAAACTCATGGTAGGGACAAAGAGCAGGTACCCAGATGCCCGATCCTCAAAAAGACCTCCCAGTTGCAAAGCTCTTCGAAGCCCATAGAGGGTAGCTCATCATGCAGAAGATGATCCACTTCAACCACAAGAAACAAACCACAGCCAGCTTCCAAGCACCTCCGCAGCCTTCTTCTTACAGGACTGTTCCACTTCAACACTGTCCAACTCATGCACCTTTTACCACAGGGACTGAGGACAAGGCTCCACGTCATCCAACAGCACGCCAGGGGGCTTGCGCTCAGCCCTCGGGAGCTGTCGCGTTCACTCTGCATGTTTGCATCTGTTCAGTTCTGTTCGGGTCTCAGGTGCAATATTTACGAAAGAAGCCGAATGCAGCACTCCGAATACGCGACCCTTAGGACGACAGCGACCACCTGACAAGGCCCCAACCGATTTCGTGCTTTTCGCTTGGCGGCAGCTGAGAGGCAGAGAACCTACCACCAGAAACGAGGGCTTCAGCACAAACTGGCGAGATTGGGTCATTGATCATGGATGCGTCACTCTATCTGGGTCCTTGCTGCATTCGCGCAGCTCTTGAAGATGCCTTTTCTACTATGACGACAGAAACCTTGTAGAGTGCGCAGCAATATCCTCCACTACACCGCGCCGCCTGAGGGGCCTGGCCATTGGCCAGGGCGAGCTCCCGGTTTTCACGACGCCGGCGCAACAGCCTTGCCGACTCGAGCTCTTCACAGTGACGGAAGGGGAGATGCCGTGGGCCAGCAGTACTTGCAAAGCACGTATGATAACATGATACTAGTTGGGGCAAGCGCACGGTGGCAGGGTAGTGTAGTATATCTGCTCGGGAAAGCCTTATTCATGTGGCCGGGCTATGCAACTGGCTATCAACTTAAAGGTTTCGGACCGGGGCAAGGGCGTCTTCCTGCTCTCTGGCAGCAAAACACCCTTGGTGGTGACCTGCCCATTTCCGACGACACGAAACTTGCAAGAGCAACGACAAAATCTGCATGAAGCTTGCATGCTCTTGGGCGGGATGACTGCATGAGCATCACACAATGCCGAGCTCAAATGAAATTTGGCAGCCAAAGCTGTCCTATCTCCCGACAAAATCGACAATCCCATGCGCCCTTGCCGACGTCTCGCCTTGAGGCCAAGTTCGGCCAGAAGGTTTGGACCTTTCCGCTGAGACCTTCACAGACGCAAAAGGGCTGCGTCTGCATGTCAACAATATCTAAGCATGTCTGAAAGCTGCTGTCCGTCTGCAGAACTACTCTCGCTGCACTCTTGAAGAACCGACAGATGCTTCTCAGGAGTGGGCTGTACCTTTGCAGTCTGCTTGTCAGGCAGCTCATCTTTCGGCAAGTTCTCTGGCCTCATGCTTCCTAGTCGGTTTGATGGGATCCATGGGAAATCGAAAAGCCGACATCGTCGTGGTGCAGTAGCAGTCGTCGTCGTAGTGGTAGTAGTCATAGTAGTTGTTGTTACTGTAGTAGTCGTCGTCGTCGTAGTA